ATAAAAAATCTTTTTTTTTTTTTTTTTTTTTTTTTTTTTTTTTTTTTTTTTTTTTTTTTTTTTTTTTTGGTACCAGGAATTGAACTCGGGTCCTTGTGCTTGCAAGGCAGGCACCAGTACCATTAAGCTAAATCCCTGGCCCACTGATCTGTTTTAATACTCATTTTAAGTGTCATTTTCATTGCTCTCTTTAAAGTATAATAGCTAATTTCCATCTTACTTGGCACATTGTAGTTTAGCAAGTGTGAGTAAACAGTAAATGTCTGCAAGGGCAAAGTAAAGAATAATATGTCCCTCTTATGCTTAAATTCTGAAATACTTGCACATAGCACATTGTCTTAAAAGATAGATTTTAAAAATTATTTATTCTTACATGACTTAATATTGTTGTTGATATCATTGCTAGATCTCCTTTTCACATCTTGGCTAGTGATGCATGTGCTTAAAATTAAGCTAACTTACCTCTGATTGCAGTTTTGGGAGATCTCTGTTCTTTGCCAAATAGCTATCTTCCCTTACTCAAGTTTTGTGTTAGTGAAATGCCCTTTTACCAGAACAAATACTGGAGAAGGATAAATCATTATTAAAGTTGGTCAATAATGGCTTGCAATGGAGTTTTTCATCATTACTAATGTAATTCTGTTTTTGCTAGAAAATAGGAACAGATGGCAAGAATTAAATAAAAATATAATGCAATTGATCTTTGTCATTTAAAAATAAAAATTTTACTATATTTCATGTCTTTTATCTAGTGTCATAAAATATACTTTTACTTGCAGGTACATATGGGAAGTATTCACTGATATCTTACATTCATTATAGTTTGAAAAAAATAGAACATTTATGCATGTAGCTCTTACAAGTTTATCTCATTAAGTAAAAGTGGAAAATTCTGTTTTGGCCTTTCAGCTTGGCATGTGAAATGTGCAGATTAAAAATAGACATGAACTGGTGCCTCTGCCTGCCTCACAAGCGCAAGGTCCTGAGTTCGATCCCTTGTACCAAAACCACACAAAACAAAAATAGACATGAAATGATCATTAAGATGAAATTTCACTACAGTATACATTTTTGCTTTATATTTTTGTTAGTATGGCAGTAATATATCAATAGATATGCCATAAGAGGAGAGGATACTTTAAGAGATTTTAATAATAACCTCTAAGAAAGGAAATCAGTTGGAGGACATAGGCTGAGATTGTGCTGTGAGGCAAAAGATAACAGCAAATGTAGATAGACAAAAATGTCCGAGGCTGTTTTGATATGATAAACAGGAATACTCAGTACATCTAGAGCCACATTTTTTCCAGGGTCTACTCTAATCCTGGTTATATATTAAATACCTTGTAATCTAAAATATGTTTTATGATACTGAATTGTATTATTGTTTAATTATGCAGGGCCAGTCACTGGAGTCTGTGCCTTAGAATGAATGAAACTAAAAGCAAGTTTTTCCTCATAGTTTTTGGTACAGGTTAACTAGATAGTGACTGTTTCTGTAGCACATACTGCCAAAATTGAAATGACAACAGAAAATCCCTGTCTATGTAGAATTGATACACACATTCAAGAAGTACTTCACATTGGGTTGTCTTCCTGCTGCAAAGTAGTAAATTGGAGTCTACTTTTACTTCTTCCTTAGCCTCTCAGTGTTGGCAGAATCACCACTGTGATTACAGCAGCACAGTTTAGACCTTCTTATTCAATTTTGAAAATATTGTCCTTACAACAAGCCAATTTAGGGCAATGATATATGAATGTTTGCTGTGGTCATTATTTGTGCCTGGGGTTATAGGGTCATTGACACAAACACCATAACTAAGGTTCTATGATACTTGGCCTCAGGAAGTAGGGAACTTTATTAGAATAGTAGACTGTGCTGAGGCTTTATAACTGGTCCCTGATCCCCCCCATCCAACCCCCAGATCATTTTGCCTTTCTGATCACAGATGAATCTGCTACTTTTGAGATGTTGAGTTAGTAAAAAATGAAAATCATAGTCCAAAGAGACCTTCTATGAAGTGTATCTGAATGCAAATAGGTGAATACATTGTGTCTGATAGTACCACTAGTCAAACTGCAATGAGGAGAGTCAGTCATAGGTTTTACTAAGAAACCTGTACCAGACTCGTTCCCTTTGCTTGTGGTGGCAGTATGTTTGCTACACAAGACTCTAATTTATTAAAATAAGGTTAATCAGTGGAATGCGGCAAATTTTCATTCATGTAGATACTAAGGAGTAACACCAGAAGATACAGTACTTGAATAAGAATGAGTCTCAATGGTGTCAAAATTATATCCTCATCCTATGGCATAAGAAAATAAGGCAATCAGTTTTGGTGAAGAGGCTAACGGGAACAGTGCAAAACCAAGAAGCCTTCTGAGATTTCTGAGGAAATCTTAAAAATTGTAGATTTCTCTCTAGGGTTGGTTGAACTGAAGATAATAGAGCACTGATCTCTATAAGAGTAAAAACACTCTGGGCCTACTTTTGCTTAGGACAAGTCAGGGCTTTTATGCATGGAACTCTGCTACTAAATACTAAATACAGATAGTATAGTTTAAAAAATCAAGGTGTTTCCAAAGTGTTTTTAGGTTTGTTGGCTATTCGTTTTCTCTAGTTGTTAAAGTTACAGAAGGTCAGACTTTTGTGAAATGATTAGCTTTTGCTTTTTCTTTGGCCAGAAAGAGGCACATTTAGTCCTGTCCACCTGTCTGACCAGTACATGCCATTGCCCACAAGTTTGGCTGGGAATAAAGAGGAATCAAAGAATTTGAGTGTAAATATTTTAGAAAAATGAAGGCCAAATATTGTTGTATTTCCCCAGTTGAAGTATTAGTCATTCTTTTAGTTCTTTATTTTAAAATAATTCACCAATGCTGTCTGTCATCTTGATCTTGAAAATGTAAATGTAGTTTCTAGAGTTGCCTGATTTACTATTTATTTCTGACTTCTTATTCTTTGTTTCTCAAGATTAGAAAAGAAATATTTGCTAGAAAACTCTTTATCATTGTGCAATCATTTGTTTCCTTTTACATTGTATATTATAAAGTATCTGTAGTATTTTCCACAATATTGTATTTGCCTGTCTTTACATTGCTCTCTGTTGTGACTTGTGTCTAGATGTCCTCCCAAAGCCTCATGCAGTTTTTCTTGAAGGTGGCTGCATCTGGAATGTGTGATGCTAGGATTAAGAGCATGTGATTATTAAACCACTACACATGAGTGATTGCATTGCCACCACCCTAATCCCTGGTATCTGAATAAGATAAAAGGAGCAGAAAGACACTGTTAAAGGTGCCTGTTGCTTTTGCTGCTTCCGCCACCATGAACTGTTGCCCCTCTGCCGCCTTACTTGGTGCCAGCTGATTATGG